CCCTTGACCACAAGGTTCGCGGTATAGTGCTTGTCATCTGAATCTGCACGGGCGAGGGCTGACCCAACACAAGTGCTGCTGATGCTCCAAAGACAAACACGAAACACCAAGAACAATCCCTTTCCTAAAACGGTAAACAAAACCCCAGAATCCTTTGGTTGATGAATCTATTCGCTTGGGAGTCCACCACTCAAGCGGATCATTTCACCGCTGCTCGACCGCTTCAACTTGAGGCCTTTCTTGGTCAAGTTTGCGCTGCATGCAATGGTTTTGTTCCTGCAAGTCAAGCAGGTCGGCTTAGCTTCCGATATCTCATCCCACCACTCAAGCCCATGGCATGAAGATCATTAAACGAGTTGACATACGAGATTACGAAAATCAGGACGATTGCGAATAAGCTACCTGATTTCTGACGGGTATCTTTGATCGTTGGTTTGAGTCTAACGCGTCCTTTTTCGTTCCTTCTGGGTGCACGAAAGAATCCAGCCCTGTGTTCTGTAAAGACTCCATAAAAGCAAGGCAGCAAGACAACAATGGGCTCCAGAACTTCTGCTCCAGCTCCAAACCGCTGTCTTTCTTCACGATCTTGAAGTCGCCCTTGGCTGTCTGAGACTGGTGGACCTTCAACAAAATATATTTATAGCTCTCATTTCCAAGGTTTGGTAAGGAACGTCTTGAGATCCCAAAAGCAAACCTTCAAATGCATGTTCATCTTACCCGAACCCATGTTCATCTTACCCGAACCCATGTTCTTCGACTGCCCTCAGAATAAGTGACTTGTGCACAGCAAAAAGAACAAACACATATATACTGTAGATGTACATCAACACAAGCTATCCAGTCCAGCAAAATGTCCTTTTGCTACTGGATCTCGTCTTGCAGTCAAACACTCGGCCTCTCCCGAAAAAAAAAAAAAAAAAACAGGCCCAACAAATCATTCAAAAAGAAAACGATCACAGTGCAGCCGCAATGATATGGACCTTCCTGAAGCGGGCTACGTCGAGGTCCTCCATCCTTTATCATGGTTATCGCTCAGTCCAATCATGCTGCCAAAAGTGCAATCATGCTGTCCAGAAATGTGTGACTCAATCATGTTTACCGACCAAAACACGCGGAATCCAAATCTTATCAAATTTTTACAGTACATTTGAAGCAGCAGTCTAGCTGTCTGGCTTGAGGGGAAGCTGGCATTCCTTCCTCTGATCCATAATGTTTAAAAGCACAATAACTTATATAGTCAACCCTGATGTGCTCGAGAAACACGTGTCATCTTGGTATATATTTCCAACTAGTCTAGATTAGTTGCTCTGAACAACCGTCTTGTATTCTAAAGAAATGAACAGAAGCCTTGCCTGGGTTGTCCAAATTAAATGCCTCCGGAGACAATGCATCTAGCATCCTCACAGGGCTCCGCGAATGAAATGGGGGGACCCATCCGGTTCACAACGTCAGCAAATCCGAGAGGCTGATTCAAAGGTCCAATCTCCCACAAGTGGTTCATCTTTGTCTGGTGCAGCCTGTCGTTCCAAGACCTCGACAGCACGTCGCCCCGGAACCACCGACACACGCCGGACGGGACACCGGTCGAGAGGCCAAGGTGGAGTTGGAGGTCTTGAGACGGAAGACCTCATGGCCGTCTTCCGTTTTGGACTCCTGAGGAGGCACTGGAGGGAGGAAAAACACCCGTCGTTGCCATGGTAGGGCTCCAAAACCAAAGGCTGGTGCAAAGCGAAGTAGGCTTTGCAACCACGGATGATTTCGTCGAGTGATTGATGGAAGTCTCTCTTCAACAGTTCAACAAGATCCAAATTTCCATTTCAGCATGGACCTCCTGGTCTCGTTTAAACTCGATACGAATCGGTCGTCCTGTTCTGCTCAGACCCACGAATCGGTCGTCCTCCGTCTTGATGAGTTCGCCAGGTTCGGTGCAGTCGATCTTGCTGGAAAGGCGAAGGTCCTGGTGCATCTGCTGCGATACAAGTAGCCAAGCAACAAAGTTGCACAGGAAATCCCTTTGACTTCATTCATTTCTATATATTTCTATCATCAGGGGGAAACACATAGCTCCCCTTCACACACCCAAAATCCATTGGCACGAAGAGAGTGTCAAAATGCCATGAGCCGACTCTCCCACGGCCTCTGCAGTGATGCTGCAGTCCTGGAGGGGAAGGCAGTAGACGACAACGGGTTCATTTGGAGCTTCTTGAGCGGGGAGGGAATGCCTTCCTTGGCCTATTAGGAGCTTCATGGAGCTTCTTGAGCCCTGAGAAGCAGAAATGGTTGTTAAGGGTGACAGAGTATCTGAAACAGCCTTTATCTACGCCTACATTACACAATAATATATATATATATATACATGTACATATAATGTATACTTGCATATACAGTAATATACATACACATTTGACAATATTTTGAGCCCATATGTATAACATTATGTATAGTTATATTTTTTGGGCCATGGTTTTGAAGAACACATTCATAAATCGTCTTGAATCGTTCAGCAACAAATGCCGAGAACAATAAATCAAGGCAGCTCCGCAAATCCCTCTCAATGGCAAATAGCATGTCCTTGCCATCCTTCTTCTGACCGTCAAACCAAACTTCTGCCTTAACAGCTTGCAAAGCAAACATCCTTGAAACGAAACATGATGAAACCCACTCGTCCCGCTCATGAGCCTGACAAATGATTAAATATGATTAATTAGTGCTTGCTTTCCAACCTCCTTCAAGACTTTTCATGACCAATTTCTCTTGGTGTTCGATTGTACAAAAGCCTGCTTCTGCAGCCCAAATGCTCCCAGGAAGAGCCTGATGTTCCCCTCATTTTCAGCTTCAGTCTGGGCCAAGCCTCCCCAAGTGTCCTGCCACGATCAAATTCAGGATCCGCACCTACCTCAACATCCCGGAGTGGTGGAATGTGGTAAGGCTATCTGGTGTTGACCTGTAGCCCAGTGCCATCGTTCGGGGTCACTAACGCCTGCGTCGCACTCAGAAAATGACAGCACTGGGTGGCTGCTAAGTCTCGGGGTCCGGGGTGGGTACTAAGTCTGAAATGGCTTCTTGTTACTAGAAGCAAGAATGCTCCTGGTAGCGATGCCAGGAGCCCCTAGAAGCGTCCTAGTGGATGGGGTCCGGGGTGGGTACATAAACTCAGATTCAGAAAGAGCCGAGCTGTTTCTGGCTTCTGGAAACTCTGGAAGAAGGACAGGCGGGACAGGAAGAGGATGCAAAGGCTGCGACTTGGATCACTTTGTAAAACAGACTTAAGGATGGGCCACGGGATGACTTCCTAGACCGCAAGGATCCGCAAGGTGCAGAGACTTCCTTGACAAGGCTCCTCATATGTACAGGGCTAACAGTTTTGCATTTCGTGCCCAGATCATTCCAAATGTGTGGAGTTTCAGCTTAAGGCTTACCTTCTATTTTAAGTTGCCTGAAGCGCTAATTAATAGGCCACAACAAAAGAGTGCCTGCAAACACTCACAGTGAAGATGCATCATCTTTCACGAAGAAACCTCTGTCGCATCAAAAGAGTGTGGATGTGTGGCTGCAATCGATACTGCAGTTGCTGCAGGGGTCTACTTTTGACTGAACCAGGCAATGAATCCCAGCGTGTCATTGGTGTCGTCAACATGTTTGCAATTCTTCTTGGTACTATTTCTAGAAGCAATCAAATCATCCTTCCAATCTTGTGAACATCGTCTTGCGATGCCTTCTCAGCACAATGCATTATTTCTTTGCCTGTGTGTTTGGCAGCACCCTGCCTGTGGATCACTGTTCTCGTTTGTCACCCGCACCAGCTTCTCCACCTTGTCTTGCATTTCCTCAATCGTTTTAAAGGTCACCTTCCTCAGGTGCGGCCAACGGCGGCCAACGAGACACAACGTCGTCTGTCGAGGATGCCAGACTTTCGAACGGTCGCATGTGAAGAGACGAAAGGCTTGCAGTAACCAGGTAGTGAAGAGACGATTTGTTAAAGGATTGTGGGGAAAACGAAAAGGCTCTGAAAGAAGTAGATCAAGGGCCAGGTCCAACTATCACACACCCTTGCCTGCCACCTTGGTTCTGGTGCTTCTGCGGCTGCAAAAGTGCTGTCGCGGGCTTCAGTGATTTATTTGTTCAGTTTCCTGTATTGAATTTCCGGTGACCACAGCTACTATGTTTGCTTTGAACATATGGTGCTCCACTCACACTTGCCCATATATGCACGACAGGGGTCCGGGGTTAGTTTGGTTTGCCTTTGCTTGTCAGCCGCGGGATGTTGATTGCTTTCTTTTCCTTGTCTTGTGTGCTGCTCTTGGCAAGTACATCCTGGATGTGTGTCGATCAATGTCAGCTATACATGACAAAACATCGTTGCAAACAACAGCGGCAGAAAACGCAAAACAAAAACACGACATGAACATGCAAAAACAAAGCAAATTCCGTTGTTTTGTGCATTTTTACTGGCAACATTTCTGCACTCATGTGAACTCTTAGCAGTCAGCAATATTCAGTGTACACTCTAGGCAATATCAATAAACGATAAACAACTGAACAATTCCAAGACACAAACAAACAAACAAACAAACAAACAAACAACAACCGCAACAAAAGCGACGAAAAGGCAAACTTACTTTTACCATTTTCAGTTGCTTTACCTTTGCTTTTTTTGCTTACACTAGTCATTTTGGCTCCTTGTTTCTTCCTGTGGCTGCCAAGCCCGACACAATTATAGATTGCATTTCACAGGACTGGAGCCGATGAATGCATGAGTTGAGCACCGCTCTTGGTATCAGGGACGAACTGAGGGTTTTCACACCCATGCCAAAGATGTGTGGCTGAAGAACAGGTGCCCTTGGACCACTCCAGGAACAAAACAGATCTGATCAATGAACAGCACGCAAATCAACTCATGATGAAACAGAACCGTCAGCGCAAGTCTTGGGGCACGTGAACGTGCGAATTTGTCAAGCTGAGTAGCCAATTGATTGGCATCTTTAGCTGCGAATGGCAATCTAAGACGCCCTGGTCCTCAGCAAACATCCAAGCAAAACAACATAGAACAACTCTTCCGTGAGCTAGGTAGGTCTGCTTTTGGCAACCAAGCGACGTCTGAATCGCTTGTCTTCTCCTTACAACAAGAGACAGAGATATCAGAGTTGAGGAAGCTGTTGAATGGACCCTTCACTCAAGGACACAGCAAAAGAATATGGGCAAAACCCCATGAGGACATTGAAAATGACACCAAGACTCTCCACTCTTGGTGGTCTCCTTTGGACCTTCCACTGACTCTTCCTTTTCCTTATTCTCATCCATGGCATTGGCGTCTGTGTCATCGCCTGGAGTTGGATCACCAAGATCGTTTGTCTGAGTGGTTTTTGAACAAATATTAAATCATATTCGATCGATTAAACTAAATTTCAGCTAGTATAGGTATATCTAGGTATCACAACCCCCCCTGATCTCCATGAATACGTTGGATCCAACACCAACCGTCACCAATGTCGCCTTCTGATTCTGGACCCTTGCTGTCCCGAGTCAACGCTGAGAGCATGCCTGCAAGCAATGGAAGCATTTCACTTCTGGGGCTTAAAGAGTCTATTCCGTTGTCGTGTTGTACAAGCCGAGCTCACATGCACATGACTAAGATTTCAAGACTGGTGAATCCTGCCAGAAATATCCAGAAATACTCTTCAGGAAGCAAACACTGCATGCTTTCCTTTTCTGCCGAATTGCTTAGAAGGCCTTTTTTTGCTGGGCATTTCTGTCTTGATCGACACCCCTAGCTCCTACAAACGGTTGAGCTCGACTTCTCTCCAGCAAGTCTTTATATTTTTCCGAACATTCCTGAGGTGCAAGCTGTCTGACTCGCGATAGGCATACCTGAGCTGCCGCAATGCAAATGCTCTTAAGGTTCATAGAGCGATGAGCTATCTGATCTATGAAGCAGCCATTTTGAGAAATCCATGGGGTCCTTCTGGTTTGGCATAGGGTGCGAGAGCAGCACTAGCTCATCTTCTGAACAGTTTGAACATGCCATGAATTAGCATTCAAAGCTCCTCCAGTTTGCCTTCTTGAATGTTCTCAAGGCAACACTCCTCGTCGTTCTTGCTCGTTTTTTTTCCTCTATGACTTTGCCATTGCTCCTCTTCCCGAACCATCTCAAACCAATCTCCTTATGGACCACGTCACAACACGGGTAGCAGGACCAGCAGGAGGGAACTTACCATTCGGACCATGCTGAACAAAGGTGGGCAGTCGCACCTACGGACGGATTTTGCCGACTTTGGCAATTGAGCACTTGAGCAATGCGGCGAATATCTCATGGCCCTGCATGCAGATTGTAATTCTCGTAGTCTGACCAAATACATTGGGGCAATCACATCCTTTGGATGCCCGAATTTCAATGATTTCTAGCACGATGATAGTAATGCTATGTACTGTTTGTTTTCTTTTTGATGTCATCAAAGCGGTCAAGACTTGTGACACAAGCATCTGGGTAGAAACAAGAATATCACGTCGTGTAAGCACGTTTTCAAAAACGTGCTGGGCTCAGTGGCTGCCCTGTGAATCCATGTCATATTCTAGTCCCTTAGTAATTTGCTGCTCCAGTCATCTCTGCTTTTCTCCTCTGCGAACGCATCTGCTGAGACGAACACGGAGGAGAAACATGCTCGAACGCGACTTTGCGCTCTACGCCCCAGCAAACGGCCAACGGGACAGCAACAGTTCATACGCATCTCTGATGGATTTGTTCCACATGAACTTCAACGAGGGTGGAAGTGGTGATCCTGATACAAGTCCAAAGATGTCAAAAGTATGGGAATGACCAAGTAAGGGGTACTAGGATCAGGTACACACCAGGTATATCTGTCAAACCTCGCTCCGAGCCAGTCCCTGCATAAAAGTGATTCCCTGGGCACTGATTCCGAGTCGGACGACGATCGTTCCTCTCCTTCTGGTGCGCTGACTTCGCTAGCGAATCGCGGTAAATCAATTGATGTCGGCCCTGCTTGGAATGTTAGGGGTGCAACGACAGCAACGACGCTGGCTTCACTGGTGCGCCAGAAAGGGACCAAACGTCGAGCCACGTCTCAGTCTCTACGTCGACCACAATGGCGACAGAAGATGGAGTCCGCCATGTAAAGGTTTCCGCACTGCGGGCAGTGAGTGACCTGGGCCGCATTGTGATGTTTCCCTGGAAGTCGTGAAGGTTGTTCAAGGGGTAAAGTAAAGTGGATGAGATGGGAACATCGGTTTCAACATGGCTAGTTATATCGGATATCAGTGGACTTATTGTGAAATCAAAAGAACCGTCTTTTTTGGTGGTAGATTCTGGACACCTTCGCCATCTGCATCCATCTGCCCGCCAAGGATCTGCCTCCTCCAGCGAGATGACCCCATCCATGTTGGCATCCATGCGCTGAAAGAGTGAGCCCTGGTGCCACCGCTCCCCAACGACTCATGGAGACTGGGAGATGAAGCCACACTGAAGGATAGGATGCCATCTGAAGAGGTTGATTTCTTTCCCTCCCAGGGTTCACAGGTTGTACCAGGCAATTGAAAGGGAGCATGGATAGGATTCGGGGATGAGTCACATTGACTCGATAATTATATATGAACCCTCATGAAGACATCAGGACCCCTTGACTTGACAAGTGATATTTAGCATTCGGCAAACCTCACTTCTCCACCAAACTATCCAAACGGCTATCTGATGTACGGGCGCAATTGGAGAGCACCTCGGACCCTTTTTTTAACAAAGTGGGGCTCTTCACAAGGCTCGTCAACATTGCCCCTATTTACGTCGCACAAGTAGATGGTCGCAGTTTGTTTAGGCAGAGACATCTTTTCATTGTGGAACATCTGCCAATCAGTCCAACTCAACCAGTCTCATCCATGCCCAAACAATCCATCCAAATGCTTGCCTGCGCCATCTGCGGGCTCAGCTGCACCATGCAGCTTCCACCGCTGCTTGAGCTACCTGGTTTCAACATATAGAGCGACAAACAAATGGTCAAGTTGTTTTGCTCGCGTGCTTTCCTTTCCGGATTCTTCGACGATTTCATGAAACCCACGGCATGGGTGAATCCAAGATAAACCAATCAGGTAGCCCAAAAGCACGGACTTTATGACTTTGAATGTTCTTCCCACTATTTCGCCATCCATTCGGCCTGGAGGAGCTGCGATGCTTTGTCGTCTGCGGCCACAGTTGCGGCAGAACATCCTCTCGGATCCAACATGAACCTACTTTGCATGGAAAGCTGCGACCGCTGTCTCAACTTCTGATCTTTTGAGTTCCGAACGAGTGAAGCTGAAGCTGGGCCGAAGCCATAACGACATATCATGTGAGAAACGTGAAGGGGAAAAACAAAGAAGGAAGAGAAGAAGCGGAAGGAGAAACAAAGGGAGGATGAGGGGAGAAAAGGATGAAGAACAAAGGAAAGAGCCAGATGGAGACAAGAACAAGAACCACAACAAACGTCGAACAACAACTTACCACAACAACCGTTCAGCCATATATATATATATGTACATATTAGTATTATTACTACTAGTATTACTATTTTGCTATTATTGTTTTTATTGTTATTACAATATATATATACTGTATATATTAGACACCAGCAACCACGGATCGCTTTTGAAATTGAAGCAAGCATCGAGTCTGCCATGTAGAGATTCCCGCAGGTTGCACAATGACTTTCCTGCCCAAAGAAGACAAACACAAGGCATCAAGCCACACCAATGGTACGGAGCTCTGTCTGTGTACTGCTGAATTTCGCCCTTCCAGCAACCCTGGTTGGCAAACCAACGCTATAAAATGCTATATATAAATATGTTCCATAGCAATTTTCTAGCCAAGATGCAAACTCGTCTTTGGAGATGACGCCATCGTGGTTGGTATCCTGCGCCACCGAACCACCCGTCTTTCCTCCCCGCAATGACTCGAATGGCATTCGATTCTCAGAGTTCTTATGGTCGGAGTCATCAGCGTTCCGAAACATCAAACAATCATCAAAACGACTTTCTCGATCATTGGACTTCTAAGACCCTTCTATCATCTTCTATCTGATTCTATCTCAAACACCGCGGCTTTGCCGTCCATCTGGTGGAAGCGTGATGTTGCCGGTGTGTAAGTAGCTGTCCTCAGCATCCACAAAACCTTTGAGTGAGCTGCTGATGAAGTGTAACAATATATATATATATACTGTATATTTGGGGATGGGTCAAAACTTGAAGCTCCAACACCTTGTCATTGTAGCGAACGACCTTCCAGCTAGGTCAATGAAGGTATCCCTTTGTTTACTCGTCGTATGGTCAAACATGATTTTGGTGAGTTTTCCGTTTTGATCCCCTATTGAAACTGACCATCATCACGCGTAGTTTTCCATACACAAATCAAACTGCTCGGCAAAGCAAGTTTCTGGTGTGCTCATTGAGCTGCAGCTGCATTTCTCCCATGATATTAAGGGAAGAACAACTTCTTGGCAATAGCAACTGTCATCCACATTCAAGTGGTCATTGAAGATGTCACTCATTGACTCATTGAATGTCTCCCATTCTTCACATGTCTTTAGTTGTTCATTACATTTTACTATATATAGAACACTCAGGACTGAGGCTCACAGGCGGAGCAGCATCGAAGGAGACGGCTTTGGGCCTCTTCTGGACCTGCGGGAGCAGTTCAATCAGACCGCTGAGGCCTCGACCGCTGCGGACATGCTTCAATGGTGTTGATGGCTACACTTCTTGTACACAAGTGGTTGTATTACAGTAGATGAATCACACGTCTTCCCCAGTTTTGCCGAGCCTCTTCCAGCACTGGCGTGGAGTGATTCACCACAGCCTTTCTTTGGAATCAAAGAGTTTCGTCCAATGTCGCTACAGCCGTGGTCTCGTCTTGCTGCTTTGCTCAGTGTCCGACGGCCAGTTTCTGGTCCCTCTCTTCCAAGGCAGCACAATATTCTCTCAGCCTGGATAACCACAGGATCCCGTACAACGCAGTGTGCCCAACTCCATTACTCTTCTAACCAAAGACATGAGAAAATTGGTTCGAGGGGATTGTTCGCAAGCGAGATCAGCTGCTCTAGCTAGCAGCGCAGAGTTGGCATAGAAGCTGCCATGGAACAATGTCAAAAGGCTCCGCCAAGCAGGCTGCTGCCCGACCCAAATGGCCTTTGAAGCTCTTCTTGGCAGTTTGCAAGTTCTTGCCTTGAACGTTCGAGCAACACATCGGTGGATCAAGGATCCGTAGCTCCATGAATCTAACTCCCCTGGGAAAATTGTCAGGTCAAAAGAATGTGCAGTGAATCTTTGGAGGGGTCACTTGCGTTTCGTTCACACCGGGGGATGACCAACTTCTATGACGCCAAATGCTGCCAAGGCACTCTCGCAAGGACAAGAGCTCCTGATACAACTCTTGATCGTAACCCGAAGGTGAGCAAACAACGCGTGCTACCCTGCCGAAGACCAAAACACAACCACAACCACCGTATTGCGGAGCGGCAGTCCTGTCAGGTTTCTAGTCCTTACAGTTTCTCGTATCTATACCAGGAACAAATCGTTGTGTTGAACATGGTGATCACACTGAACATAGCGGCATAGCGCTGCATTGTGATGTGACGGGTTCCATGCCCTCTCCAAACTTAGCGCTCTGCGTTTTATTTGCCCAAAAATCATCGCTACTAGTAGCAAATAGCTACTAGCAACAAAGGGCATCGCTACTAGTAGCATCTAGTAGCAAAATAGGAGCGAGGATGCTACGAGTAGCTCCTGGCATCGCTACCAGTAGCAAATAGTAACAAAGGGCATCGCTACTAGGAGCAAATAGCTACTACTACTACTACGACTACCACTACCACTACCACTACCACTACCACTACCACTACCACTACTACTACGACTACTACTACTACAGTACTACTACTACAGTACTACTACTACAGTACTA